CCAGATAACCTGTCGTTGTGTGGTGCAAGGGCAGGAGGAGAAGAGTGTCCCCGCTGCAGAAGAAAGAGTGAATTCACCTTTTCTTGTCTTTCTGTTCCACATAGGTCTTTAGCTGATGGGATGTACCCACCCACGCTGGGTGGTGTTAATAATCCACTTTCACCCTGCTGATAAAGACATACTTGAGACTGGGCCATTTACAAAGGAGAGAGGTTTAATGGATTTATAATTCTACATGTCTGGGGAGACCTGACAATGATGGTGGAAGACAAGGAGGAGGAAGTCACATCTTACATGGGTCGTGGCAGGTGAAGAGAGCTTGTGCAGGTAAACTCCTGATAAAACCATCATATCAAATAGGAATCACTTTAGGCATAGCAGTTCCCTTATGAGCAGCCACTGTACTCACAGGATTTCGATTGAAAACAAAAGCATCTCTAGCCCATTTCTTGCTCCAAGGAACGCCTATCCCACCTATTCCTATACTCATCATCAACGAAACAATCAGCCTTTTTATTCAACCCGTAGCACTAGCCATATGATTAACAGCTAACATCACAGCAGGTCACCTACTCGGAGAAACCACATTAACTCTACTATCCATCTACCTCTCTTCTTCCACAATTACTGTTATCATCCTATTAATTATCCTAGAATTGGGCATGGCTCGAATTCAAGCCTATGTTTTCACACTTTTAGCCTCTATCTATACAATAATTCATCATGACACACCAAACACACACTTATCACATAGTCGGTCCAAGTCCCTGCGCACTAACAGGAGCCCTGTCCCCCTTTCTAGTAACCTCCGGCCTAATTATATGATTTCATTTCCACTATACTCTTCTCCTTACCACAGGACTATTGGCTAGCGCCACAACATGATTTCAATGATGATGTGATGTAGTCCGAGAGAGCACATATCCAGGCCACCACACTATGCCTGTTCAAAAAGGCCTCCGACACAGAATGGTCCTATTTCTTATTTCAGAAATGTTCTTTCTTGCTGGTTTCTTCTGAGCGTTTTACCACTGTCGCTTAGCCCCAACCCCACAAACAGGAGGACATTGACCCCCCACAGGTATTTTCCCCCTTAACCCTCTAGAAGCGCCACTTCTAAACACATCTATTCTACTTGCATCAGAAGTTGCAATTGCCTGAGCACACCGCAGCCTGATACAGGCTAACCAAGAAGAATCAAGTCAAGCACTAGCCATGACTATCACACAAGGTATTGACTTTACCGTTCGACAAATCTCAGAATACTCTGAAGCTTCCTTCACTATTTCTGATGGAATTTATGGCTCTACAGTCTTTATAGCTACAGGCTTTCATGACCTTCATGTTATCATTGCAACCACATTCCTTGCCCCATGTTTTGTTCGTCAACAAATACATCACTTTACATACAGCCCCATAGTCACCACACAGACTTACCTCAACGCAGCGAGGACCATTAACATATAGTACTAGTAATGTCAAACCCCTTCACGCGAGAAAACACACTGATACTAACGCACATGGCACCCATCCTTCTCCTCACCCTAAACCCTGAGACAGTTATAGCACCTGCGCCATGTAGCTATAGTTTAATCAAAACATTCGATTGTGAGTCTAATAATAGAAGCCCATAACTTCTTACCTACCGAGAAAGTATGCAGCAACTGCCAATTCATGCCCCCATGCCTAACAGCTTGGCTTTGTCAACTTTTAAAGGATAGCAGTTATCCATTGGTCTTAGGAGCCAAAAACATGGGTGCACCTCCAAATAAAAAAACCGCATTCTTCCACCACCTTAATAACGCTAGTCCCCTTACTAACGCCTATCGTAATTACTCTAATTCACCCCCGCAAAAAAATTTTATATCAGCATTATGTAAAATTAGCTGTCATGTATGCTTTTACTGTTAGCATTCTATCCGTAACAATATTTATCTTCACAGGCCAAGAATCTATCATTTCAAGCTGACATTGAACAACAATTCAAACCATCAAATTAATTATCACTAGACTTAAAACTAGACTTCTTTTCCACAGTATTGACCCCCGTAGCATTATTCGTCACCTGGTCAATGGTAGAGTTCTCAATATGATTGATATATAAATTCGGACCCAAACATTAACCAATTTCTCAAGTATTTACTCACCTTCCTTATTACAATATGAATTCTAATCACCGCTAACAACCTGTTTCAACTTTTTATTGGGCGAGAAGGAATAGGCCTTATATCTTTTCTACTAATCAGCTGATGGCTCGGCCGAGCAGACGCCAACACAGCAGCCCTCCAAGCAATTCTGTACAATCGTTATCGGTGATATCGGTTTTCTTCTAGCAATAGCATGATTCTTTCTATGCTCCAACTCATGAGATTTTCAACAACTATTTATCCTTAACTCTGCCCCAAACTCCTTCCCTCTCATAAGCCTCCTCCTAGCTGCAGCAGGAAAATCAGCCCAATTTGGTCTCCACCCATGACTACCCTCCGCTGTACAAGGACCTCCTCCAGTTTCAGCGTCACTTCACTCTAGCGCAGTCGTCCTTGCAGGAATCTTCTTAATTATCTGCTTTCATCCCTTAATCAAAAACAACTTGCTTATTCAGACACTCATGCAGCCCTCACCACCCTATTGACAGCAATATATGCTCTAACACAAAATGATATAAAAAGGATCGTAGCTTTTTCAACCTCAAGCCAACTAGGACTCATGATATTAACAGTCAGCATTAATCAACCACATCTAACCTTTCTTCATATCTGTACCCACGCCTTTTTTTTAAGCCGTATTATTTCTATCTGCAGGATCTATTATCCATAACCTCAACAAGGAACAAGACATTGGAAACATAGGAGGCTTTTTTAAAACTTTACCCTTTACCGCCTCCTCCCTCATCATCGGCAGCTTTGCACTCACAGGTCTACCTTTTATCACAGGCTTCTACTCAAAAGACCGTATCGAAACCGCCAATATGTCATATACCAACACCTGAGCCCATATAGCCACTCTCCTAGCCACTCCCTAACAGCTATATGCAGCATCCGCATCATTTTCTTGACTCTACCAGGACAACCCGCTTTACAACTCTTCTTATAATCAATGAAAACAACTCTCTACTAATAAACCCAATTAATCGCCTAGCAATAGGTAGTATTTTCGCTGCATTTCTTATTTCTAACTGCATTCCTCCTACTCCATTCCCTCAAATAACGATCCCATACTATCTTAACAAACAGCTTGACGCGTAACTATTTTAGGGCTGCTTCTAGCAATAGAGCTCAACCTCATAACCAACAATACAAAATGAAGCACCCCAATCAAAACTTGTTCCTTTTCTAACGGACTGGGCTTTTACTCAACCGCTACTCATTGCTTCAAGCCCCTTTCATGCTTCACCGCAAGCCGGAACTTCACCTCAGTTTCACTAGATCTATTTTGATAGAAAACTCCATGCCAAAAATAACACAGACTCAACTTTCAATCTCCACCACTGCATCATCCCAAAAAGGCCTCATTGAGCTCTACTTCTTTCTTTATCCCACCCACTCTCGCATTACTTTTAACCATGTAACCCCTACCCCGAGTAAGCTCAATCGAAATGTGCATGCCCATGAACCACGCCCAGCAAGTAACTGACACAACTCAAACCCCATAATTATATAAAGCCGCAGCACCTGTAGGATCTTCGCGAATTAACCCCGGCCCCTCGCCCTCATAAACTATTCAACTTGCTACAGTCTTATAATTAGCAGTAATTTCTACCACCTCATTACACTCACCTGATAATCTTACCATGGTCATTTCCATCATTATACCTAACAATAAAGACCCCAAAATATCAGTACTTGATATTCATGTCTTAGGATGCTCATCAATTGCTATCGCTGCAGTATAACCAAAAACAACTATTAAGCCACCCAAATAAATTAATAAAACTATAAGCCCTATAAAAGATACACCAAAATATAATGTAATTACACAACCTACAGCACCACTAAAAATCAACCCCAAGCCCCCGTAAATAGGTGAAGGCTTAGAAGAACACCCTACAAATCCTATCACTGAAATAATAATGAAAATAAAGCATATGTCATTATTCCCACATGGATTATAACCACGATCAATGATACGAAAAACCACTGTTGTACTTCAGCTGTAATAATCCTAATGATTATCCCCCACAAAACACACCCACTAACAAAAATGATCAACAGCTCATTCATCGACCTCCCCACACCATCTAACATTTCCTCTTGATAAAATTTCGGCTCACTTCTCGGCATCTCCCTAATTATTCAAATTACCACAGGCTTATTCTTAGCCATACACTACGCACCAGACACTTCAACCGCCTTGTCCTCCGTCACCGATATCACCCGAGATGTTAACTACGGCTGAATAATCCGTTCCTTACATGCCAAAGGTGCCTCCATATTCTTTATCCGCCTCTCTCTTCATGTTGGCCGAGGCCTGTGTTATGGATCTTTTCTCTTTTTGGAGACTTGAAACATCAGTATTACCTTTCTGCTTACAACTATAGCCACACCATTTATAGGCGACGTCTCTCCATGAGGCCAAGTATCACTCTGAGGGGCTACAGTGATCACAAATCTGCTATCAGCCATTCCCTGTGACCCACTGGATCTGCCCTTGTACAATGAATCTGAGGCGGCTTCTCAGTAGACAAGGCCACCCTTACACGTTTCTTCACTTTCCACTTCATCTTACCTTTCATTATTGCAGGTCTAGCAACTATCCACCTTTTGTTTCTACATGAGACAGGATCAAATAACCCTTCAGGAGTGACATCAAACCCCGATCAAATCATATTTCACCCCTGCTACACAACCAAAGATATCCTGGGGTTTTCTCCTCCCATTCCTAATCAGCCTAACCTTATTCACACCCAAACTTTTTTTTTCCCATTTATTTTATTGCATTTTAGGTTTTGGGGTACATGGGAAGAACATGCAAGATTGTTGCCTAGGTACACACGTGGCAGTGTGATTTGCTACCTTCCTCCCCATCACCTCCATCTGGCATCTCTCCCCTTGCTATCTCTCCCCAGCTCCCCACCCCCCACCGTCCCTCCCCTATTTCCCCCCAACTGACCCCAGTGTGTAGTGCTCCCCTCCCTGTGTCCATGTGTTCTCATTGTTCAACACCCACCTATGCGTGAGAACATGCGCACACCCGAACTTTTAACGGACCCAGACAACCACACTCTAGTCAATCCCCTCAATACTCTGCCCCACATTAAGCCAGAGTGATGCTTTCTATTTGCATATGCAATCTTATGATCAATCCCCAACAAACTAGGGGGCGTCCTCGCTCTCATGCTTTCCATTCTAATCCTAATAATTATCCCTATAACACATCTATCCAAACAACAAAGCACAGCATTCCAAGCCATCAGTCAAAGCCTATTCTGAACCCTAGTAGCAGATCTACTTTTACTTACACGAATTGGAGGCCAGCCAGTCGAATACCCTTTTATGACTATTGGCCAAACTGCATCCATTATATATTTCCTTGTTATTCTCACCCTCATTCCCCTCTCCGCCCTAGTCGAAAACAAACTACTTAAGTGATAAGCATCCTTGTAGTATAATTGAATGCCCTGGTCTTCTAAACCAGAAATGGAGAACGTTTACTCCCCAGGACAATCTCAGGGAAAGAATGCCTCATTCTACCATCAACACCCAGAGCTGAAATTCTGATTTTAAACTATTCCCTGTATTATAGAATGCTCTCTCTGTAAGTAATACGCAGGTACATATATTATTCTTTTTCCCTGCTCTGTACTTAGTGCATTATTGTTTATCCCCATGAATAACACATAGTACTGTAAATGCTGAATCATACATAGTACATTCAATTAAAGAAACTATAATACATTTAGATCCATACAGGACATACAGGACATTACAACACATGGATATCATTCAGTACATAGAATCATTAAGAGTACATTTATACATCACATGATTAATCAGACACAGCACATTATACTTTGATAGTGCTCCCCAACATGGATATCCTCTAGCATATTTTGGTCTTTTTTTTTTTTTTTTTTTTTTTTTTAGAACGGGGTTTTTTTTTTTTTACCCAGGCAGGAGTGCAATGGCGCGATCTCGGCTCACCGCAACCTCCGCCTCCTGGGTTCAGGCAATTCTCCTGCCTCAGCCTCCTGAGTCGCTGGGATTACAGGCACGCACCACCATGCCCAGCTAATGTTTTGTATTTTTAGTAGAGACGGGGTTTCACCATGTTGACCAGGATGGTCTCGATCTCTTGACCTCGTGATCCACCCACCTCGGCCTCCCAAAGTGCTGGGATTACAGCCTTGAGCCACCGCGCCCAGCCTTATTTTGGTCTCTTAATCTACCATCCTCCGTGAAACCAGCAACCTGCCCACATCCGCCACTCTTCTCGCTCCGGGCCCATATAGACAGGGCTTGGTTACACTGGAACTATATCTGGCATTGGGTTCCTACGTCTGGGCCAAATCATTAAGGCCGTACATATGTTCTTCTTAAATAAGACATCACGATGGTGTGGTGCTGTCACCCTCTTAACTCAATCACAGGAGCATGACCAGCCTTTAGTAAATTAACTTCTCGGGGTGTAATCAGTCACCATCGCTGGGAGGCTTAAGTCCTCCAACCATTTTGCTGTGGTACCTGAATGTGATTTGCCAGGCTCTATGCTATCATCACACCTATATTGAATGTCTTGGTCCCCATCCCAACCACAAGGTGTTATTCAGTCAATGCTTGCAGGACATAATAAATAATTAGTATTTACACTTAATTATACTCAATAAACCCCAAACCACAATCTAATAACCAAAAACAGTATCCAAAATCTGACTCCAATCTGTATCTTCTGGGTCAGCTATCATAAAGAGACACCCCCTACTAATATAATCCCTTAAATACAGGTCCCACTAACTAGCAAACATGCCCACCCATGCAATTACTCTACATCCTAATAAATACTATTGGTCATGGTTACTCTTCACATACCTTGAATTAAACCCTTCAGAAAACATACTTATACTAATATTTTAGTAGATTAAATTTAAAGCCACCAACAATATGAGCCCACGCTCACATATATAAGTGTGTATCAAGTTAAGGTAGCTTAATATTTAAAGCAAGACACTGAAAATGTCTAGACAGGTAATCACCCCATAAACACATAGGTTTGGTCCTAGCCTTTCTATGAGCTCTCAGTGAATTACACATGCAAGCATCCACAGCCCTGTGAAAATGCCCTCTAGATTATCAGAACATGAGGGGCGAGTACCAAGCACGCACATGCAGCTCAAAACACTTTGCTTAGCCACGCCCCCACGGGAAACAGCAGCGACAAACTTTTAGCAATAAATTAAAGTTTAAGTTACACTGACTATTAGAGTTGGTCAATTTCGTGCCAGCCACCGTGGCCATACAATTGACTCAGGTTAATAGAATCCGGCGTAAAGAGTGTGTAAGATTTTCTTCCCAATAAAGCTAATCTATAATAAGTTGTAGAAAACCCCAGTTATAGTAAAATATTCTACGAAAGTGGCTTTAACACCCTGAATACGCTATAGCTAAGGTACAGACTGGGATTAGATACCCCACTGTGCTTAGCCCTAAACCTCAATAACTTAACCAACAAAATTATTCATTAGAACACTACAAGCAATAGGTTGAAACTCAAAGGACCTGGCGGTGCTTTATGTCCTTCTAGAGGCGCCTGTTCTATAATCGATTAACCCTTACAGACCTTACCACATCTTGCCCTCAGCCTGTATACCGCCATCTTCAGCAAACTCCTTAAAGATCATAAAGCAACCACAAGTATTGTCATAAAAACGTGAGGTCAAGGTGCAGCCAAAGAAGTGGGAAGAAATGCGCTACATTTTCTAAATTAGAAAACTATACACTAGTCTTTATGAAATCTAAAGACCTAAGGTGGATTTAGCAGTAAATCAAGAATAGAGAGCTTGATTGAAATAAGGTCATGAAGCTCGCACACACGGCCCGTCACCCTCCTCAAACATCACATTAAAGTATTTTGCCAATAAGCCACTACACACTGATACAGAGGGGATAAGTCGTAACATGGTAAGCGTGCTGGAAAGTGCGCTTGGACGAATCAAAGTGTAGCTGAAACTAAAGCCTGCGGCCTACACCCAGAAGATCTCACCAACAGCTGATCGCTTTGTGCTAACTCTAGCCCCAACTTCATATAAATAGTATTTAACTACAATAATTAAATCATTTACCTGTTACAAAAGGATAGGCGATAGAAATTATACTTAGGCGCAATAGATACAGTACCGTAAGGAAAGATAAACACCTAATAAATCATAAAAAGCAAAGACAAACCCTTCCACCTTCTGCATGATGATAACTAGAAATAGCTTTGTGTAGAGAACTTCAACAACGTCCCCCGGAAACCAAGCGAGCTGCCCAAGGATAGCTAAAAGAACACACTCGTCTATGTGGCAAAATAGTGGGAAAATCTATGGGATGGGCAGTGGCGACAAACCTACTGAGCCTGGTGACAGCTGGTTGTCCAAGACAGAATCTTAGCTCAACCTTAAATTTACTTACAGAACTATTTAATCCTCCCGTAAATTTAATCGTTTGTCTAAAGAGGGACAGCTCTTTAGATCCTAGGAAATAACCTTTTATAGAGAGTAAAACATTTCACTACCATAGTTGGCCTAATAGCATTTAAGCTCAATGCTCAATTACTCTTTTTTTTTTAATTGTATTTCTTTATTGCATTTTAGGTTTGGGGGTACATGTGAAGAACATGCAAGATTGTTGCATAGGTACACACATGGCAGTGTGATTTGCTGCCTTCCTCCCAATTCTATTCATTCTACTGAACTCCGAAAACACATTGGACTAATCTATTACTTAATAGAAGCAATAATGTTAGTATAAGTAACATGAAATTATTCTCCCCGAAAGAGCGTATCTCAGACCCAAACAACTACTGTTAGTTAACAGCCTAATCATGACACCCTGCAGCTTAGCTAATCTATTACCCAAACTGTTAACCCAACACAGGCATGCCTCCAGGAAAGATTTTAAAAAGTAAAAGGAACTCGGCAAACTTTACCCCCGCCTGTTTACCAAAAACATCACCTCTAACATCACCAGTATTAGAGGCACTGCCGCAGTACCCTGACCGTGCAAAGGTAGCATAATCACTTGTTCTATAAATAGGGACTTGTATGAATGGCAACATGAGGGTTTAACTGTCTCTTACTTTTCATCAGTGAAATTGACCTATCTGTGAAGAGGCGGAGATACCTAAATAAGACGAGAAGACCCTATGGAGCTTCAATTTAATAATACAAACTAATATCTTAAAAACCCACAGGCACTAACCCACTGTCTATGTATTATAAATTTTGGTTGGGGTGACCTCGGAATACAGCACAGCCCCTGAAAGACATATACCAAGACCTTACTAACCTAAGTAAATCTATATTTATTGACCCAATAACTTGATCAACGAACTAAGTTACCTTAGGGATAACAGCACAATCCTATTTTAGAGTCCATATCGATGACCTCGATTTTGGATCAGGACATCCTAATGGTGCAGCCGCTATTAAAGGTTCATTTGTTCAACGATTAAAGTCTTAACTTGGTCTGAGTTCAGACCGGAGAAATCCAGGTCGGTTTCTATGTATTAAATATTTCTCCCAGTACGAAAGGACAAGAGAAATAGAGCCTATTTCACAAAGCGCCCTCACAAATCAAATGATAATTATCTCAATCTTATAAATTATTATTATTCTTTCCCAAGAACAGGGCTCGTTAAAATGGTAGACCCGGCAATTGCATAAAACTTAAAACTTTACAACCAGAGGTTCAATTCCTCTTGACAACATGTTTATAATTAATTTACTCCTACTAGTTATTCCCCCCTTAATCGCTGTGGCGTTCTTGACACTCACAGAACAAAAATCTTAGGCTACATACAATTTCATAAAGGCCCTAACATTGTAGGCCCCTACGGAACACGTCAACCAACTGCCGATGCAATAAAACTTTTCACAAAAGAACCCTTACTACCTACCACATCCACTACAACCCTGTACGGAACCGCCCCAACCTTAGCCCTCTCCATCGCTCTTCTTCTAGGACCCCCCTCCCCATGCCATATCCCCTAATTAACTTTAGCCTAACCCTTTTATTTGTACTAGCAACATCAAGCCTAGCTGTCTATTCGATCTTATGATCCGGATGAGCATCCAACTCAAACTATGCATTAATCAGCGCATTACGCACCGTAGCTCAGACAATCTCATATGAAATCACCCTAGCTATTATTCTACTATCATCCCTACTAATAAGTGGCTCATTTAACTTACATTCACTTACTACAACACAAGAGCACTCTTGACTTCTACTACCATCATGACCCCTAGCCATAATATGATTTATCTCCGCATTTGCAGAAACCAACCGAGCTCCCTTTGATTTAACAGAAGGCGAATCAGAGCTAGTTTCAGGATTTAACATTGAGTACACTGCAGGCTCATTCGCTCTATTCTTTACATCAGAATATTTAAGTATTTATTATTATAATAAATGCCCTAACCATTACCATCTTTTTAGCAACACCTTACACCACAGCTCTACCAGAACTCTACACAATAAATTTTATAGCCAAAACCCTCCTCTCAGCCACTCTATTTTTATGAATTCGAACAGCATACCCTCGATTTTGCCATGATCAACACACTTCCTATGAAAAAATTTTTTACCACTTGCACTATGTATATATTTCAATACCCATCCCAATATCTGGCATCCCACCCCAAACATAAGAAATATGTCTGACAAAAGAATTATTTTGACAGAGTAAATCATAGAGGTTTAAATCCTCTTATTTCTAGAACGATAGGAATTGAACCCATACCTGAGAACTCAAAACTCTCCGTACTACCTATTACACCATATTCTAAGTGAGGTCAGCTAAATAAGCTATTGGGCCCATACCCCGAAAATGTTGGTTCAACCCCTCCATACTAATATGAATCCTTTAGCCCACCTCATTATTTCCCTTACAGTTTTAACCAGAACCGTAATCACAATACTAAGCTCTCACTGATTCCTCATCTGAATAGGCTTAGAACTAAATATACTAGCTATTGTACCAATACCAGTTAAAAACACAAGCTCCCGCTCCATGGAAGCCGCCACTAAATACTTTTTAATACAGGCGACTGCATCTGTAGTCTTCATAACAGCCATTCTCAACAATTTATTCTCCAGACAGTGAACAATTAATCCATCTCTAAACCAAATTTTATCTACAACAATACCAGCCGCCCTAGCAATAAAACGAGGAACAGCCCCCCTTTACTTCGGTGCAAGCTGTCAGTGCATTTATCATTCTGGGGCCTGGAGGACAGTGGCCCTTTTCTCACAGCTCCACTAGGCGGTGCCAGTGGGGATTCCATGTGGGGGCTCCAGTCCCACATTGCTCTGCCATACTGCCCTGGCAGAGGTTCTCCAAGAGGACCCTGCCTCCGCAGCAAACTTCTGCCTGGGCATCCAGGTGTTTCCATACATCCTCTGAAATCCAGGCAGAGGTTCCCAAACCTCACTTCTTGACTTCTGTCTGTGCACCATTTGAAAACTACTAAGGCTTGGCGCTTCCACCGTCTGAAGCAATATCCTGAGCTGTACATTGCTCCCTTTTACTCATGGCTAGAGCAGGTGGAACTCAGGGCATCGAGTCCCTGGACTCTATAGGGTCCCTGTACTCAGCCCACAAAACCATTTTTTCCTCCTAAACTACCTCTGGGCCTATGATGAGAGGGGCTGGTGCAAAGATCTCTGACATGCCCTGGAGACATTTTCCCCACTGTCTTGGTGACTAATATTCAGCCCCTCCTCATTACTTATGCAAATTTTCATAGCCAGCTTGAATTTTTCCTCAGAAAACAGAATTTTCTATCACATTGTCAGGCTGCAAATGTTCCAAACTTTTATGTTCTTTTTCCCTTTTAAAACTCAATGCCTTTAACAGCACCCATGTCACCTCTTGAACACTTTGTCGCTTAGAAATTTCTTCTGCCAAATACCCTAAATCATCTACCTCAAGGTCAAGATTCCACAAATCTCCAGGGCAGGAGTAAAATGTCACCAGTGTCTTAAGTAAAACATAACAAAAGTCACCTTTCCTCCAGTTCCCAAAAAGTTCCTCATCTCCGTCTGTGACCACCTCAGCCTGGATTTCATTGTCCATATCATTATCAGCATTTTGGTCAAAGCAATTCAACAAGTCTCCAGGAAGTTTCAAACTTTCCAACATTTTCCTGTCCTCTTCTGGGCCTCCAAACTGCCCCAACCCCTGCCTGTTACCCAGTTCCAAATTTGCTTCCACATTTTGGCTATCTAGAGCAGTGCCATTGGTCCATTTTCATACTGCTGATAAAGTCATACGTGAGACTGTGAAGAAAAAGAGGTTTAACTGAGTTACAGTTCCACATGGCTGGGGAGGCCTCACAATCACGGCAGAAGGCAAGCGAGTCACATTTTACATGGACGGTGGCAGTCAAAGAGAGCTTGTGCAGGGAAACTCCTTCTTACAGACCATCAGGTCTCATGAGTCTTATTCACTGTTATGAGAACAGCATGGGAAAGACCTGCCCCCATGATTAAATCACCCCCCCTTGGTCCCTCCCACAACACATGGGAATTCTAGATGAGATCTGGGTGAGGACATAGCCAAACCATATCAAGTGGAAGCAGATCTTCCTTACCCAGTCTACTAATTAAATGCCAGTCTCTTCTGGAAGCAGTCTCAAAGACATAATTAGAAATAATGCTTTTTACCAGCTATCTGCATATCTCTTACTCCAGACAAGCTGGCACCTAAAATTAACCATCACACCTTCCCTCCTTCACGCACCCGACGATTCTATCTTGAACAATGAATAATACAAATTTTCTTCTTTATGACTTCCATTATTTCTCCTTATAAAGACTGCAGAGATTCAGTTTTAGATTCAACAAATATCATTCAGAGTCCGCTATCATGCCAGGCATGTTACAAGGAATTGCCATATGCATTAGGCCATTTAATATAAAAACAAGCATGGTCATACCAGCTTTCAGATGGGAAATCTGAGGCTCAGGAATTGACTAAGCATACACAGAGGTAATCCATAGAGTTAGCATTTCCGTTTGTTCCTGTGTGTGACAGATTCACTTATATATATAACTGAGCTGATTCTTCCACCAGCAAACATTTTATATCTTTTTGGTGCCCAGGTATTTTCTTAATTCCTTTCTCCTTTATATTTTCCCTCCCAACTTCTTACCTAGTTTTCTCTAAACGAAAGCACCTCATCCTCCCTGTGTTCTCATCCATGTCTATTATGAACAAGACTTATGCTAGCAATATACTTGTATCAAGAAAAAGTATGTTGCTTTGTAAAGAAATTAGAAATACAAATATTGAACTGGTGATACCAATTTTAAAGGTCATACCGAAGTCCAGAGCACCCACACATGTTTCATTAAACCTGATTTTTTTGAGGAAATAGTTTAGCTTAAAGCAATGTATTTTTCTGCCTTAGTGGAGTCTATTTTGCTGCTCTATCTAATATGGATCATTTTAAGAGTCCAGTGTTCTGTTAGCTTTATTACAAACATGTAGTATTTCAGCTGCATTATGGAGATATACATATATATTTTATATATATATATATTTCTCACTAGCCTAAGAACCTGGTAGTGATGTAAAACATTTCTTTCCTGAAAAAAAAATGTGCTATGTATTTCAAATGACTACCAAACACTTTTTTTCAGTGGCTTTTTTTTTAAAAATGGCATAATTTCTGTGATTCCTTTTTGAACCCTTTCTATAACCTCACTTGTCAACTGATTCTTACTCAATACAAGAGAATTTAAACTAATTTTCTACCTTCTCTGGAGTATGATTTAGATAGAACACGAGTTCACTTTTCCCTGCTTTGTTTTACTTTCTGCTGCTGGGAATAGCAAAACCCATTCCACCTAAAGCTCAACCCTGTCTCATACCTCACCCACGAAACCAAGACTCATGTCAGATCCTTTCCTTTTCTCTCATTCCATTATTCCAGGCTGTAGACCAGGTTTAAAATGTTGGCTCCACGTATACACCTTGGAATATTATGCAGCCATCAAAAACAATGAGTTTGCGTTCTTTGTAGGGACATGGATGAACCTGGAAACCATCATTCTCAGCAAACTGACACAAGAGCAGAAAATCAAACACCACATGTTCTCACTCATAGGCGGGTGTTGAACAGTGAGGACACATGGACACAGGGAGGGGAGCACTACACACTGGGGTCTGTTGGTGGGGAAATAGGGGAGGGACAGCAGGGTGGGGAGTTGGGGAGAAATAGCATGGGGAGAAATGCCAGATATAGATGAAGGGGAGGAAGGCAGCAAATCACACTGCCATGTGTATACCTATGCAACTATCTTGCATGTTCTTCAAATATACCCCAAAACCTAAAATATAATTTAAAAAAAAATGTTGGCTCCATGTCACCTTGGGCAAGTTGAGCTAGCTAACTTGTCAGAAGAGTTTTTTTTTTTTCTGTATCCGTGCAATTTAGTCATGCCTATATCTCAACCAAAGCCTTACTCTGCAGAATGATTGTTATTACCAAATGAGATTCTGTATATCAGCTGCCCATTCCCTTGTTGAGTACTGAGCAGGCACCCCACAAATGTGGCCTTCCTGTATAATCTATTGCCATATAACAAATTAACAAACTTAGTGAGAAAATCAGGTGTGATGGTTATCTTCAGTTTCTCTAGGTCAGAGTCTAGGCATGACTTATCTGGGTCCTCTATATTAGAATCTTTAAGAGGCTGCAATTGAGGTGTGAGCCAGAGCCACAGCATCATGTAAGGCTCAGCTGGGAAAGTATCCACTCCCAACTGATGTGTTTGCTGGCAGAATTCCGTTCTTCAAGGGCTGTTAGATTGAAAGCCTCAGTTTCTAGATGGCTGCTGGCCCGCAGCTGCCTCAATTTCTTGCCCCTTGGGTCTCTCAAGATGGCAACTTGCTTTAGCTAAAGCCATCAAAGGAGTCAGTTGAGAGAATCGACTTGAAGCACAAATGTTACAGTCTTCCGTATCCAATCACTGAAGGGATATCCTGTCACCTTTGCTGTATTTTGTTACATAACAGCAAGTCGCTAGACTAGCTCATACTCAAGGGGAGGGAATTACACGAAGCAAATATATCAGGCGGTGGAAATTCTTAGGGGTCACCTCAGAAACTGCCTGCCACAATCTCCAATGTTATACGTTCCTAAGACATCATAAAAGTTCAACCCACTATATATGCATAGCTCAATGTATTACATATCTAGTTCATTTACACAGACCACATAAAGCATAAGAAAGTAAATATATAAAATACAAAAATAGGCAAAGTGTGTGTGTGTGTGTGTGTCTTTTACATGTTTGGCCACCTTATTGTGTTTTTAGTATATAAGGAGTTGTGAAATACATCTTTCTCTCATGAAAGAATGCACAGTTAGCTTTTCCATTATGTCTCTTTTAAAAAAGAAACAGAGATATTAAGAATGTGGGCTTTAAAAACATGCTTAATGGCTCTCTCTGTGTAATTTAATAATCAGATGTTGGGAACCCATGAGGGAAAAAACAAAAAGAAACCTAGCAAGTCAATGAATCATAAAATCATAGACTTGAGGCCTAGAGGATGAATTCTACCAAGTGATCAGTCAACATCTATTGTGCTTTCTTTCTGTTTTCAAAGCCTATCCTAGTTGCCAAAGTCCAAAGTCTAAAGGGGGAAAAAGCCACAATTGAAAAGGAGCTTGACAGACTGAAGCTGAGAATTAATTTAGTCTTCAATTATTCTGATATATAAACAAACGCTGAAGCAGTCTCCTTAGGGTCAGGGGAAATTTGAAGGAGAGGATACTTCAGGGAGAGAGATGGAAAAAATAAAAACACAAACGTGAAAGGATGCAGAGAAGAGAGGGTACCGCAGGAGGCTGCCAGGACCTGGCAGCAGTCATTGGGGAAGCGGGCCATGCATTTGGATGTCTCTGAGATACACGTATGGAAATGAGAGACCCGCATGCACAGTTAGACTCCCGAGTGCCATGGGACCAGGAAATGTGATTAGACCACACACAAATCATTTGAGTTCAGAAGAAGGTTAGTGGATGGGGAACTAGGTTTATTCAGAGATGCATCCCTGAACAGGTACGGATCAAAAACAACAGGAAAGAAAAAAAGGCTACTCAAGTTTCTTTTTTTCTTCTTATTTTTTGTTTTCAACTGCAGCTTTATAGAGATGGTTAAGATTGTCAGTTTTATAATGAATATTTTCTGTGATGGTTTCTTAAGCAATTTTTAAAGCAAAATATACATCGGTGTATTAAAACTGAAAAAAGCAAAATCTACAAGTTTTGTCGTTGTTTTTGATGGTGATGTACTCAAAGTTTTCTCATTCTGGTTTAAATAAAAATTTTAGAAGTGTGAGCGAAAGCGCTGCTGTTGAATTGTAAATGATTCTTATCAGTCAAAACCATGCTTTAGGCTTTCAAATAAAAGATGGCAAGCAGATCCAATGTGTTTATATTTTGTTCATTCCAAAGCCTATTGAAATGACAGAGAATATGTAATAATAAAATAAAGCCAGCAATTCTACTCCTAGGTATATGCTTAATAGAAGTACATACATCTTTTCATAGAAAGACATGTAAGCATATGTTTATAGCAACCCAACTCATAATAATCCAAAACTTCATAGTATCCAAATGCCCAGCAACAATAGAAAGTAGAGGTAAATTGGATAATAATCACCTCAGGAGTTTCACTGGCATAAAATTCTATCTATTTGATTGAGAGCTGTGAGCTCTGCACATTGGACAGATTGGTTAACGTCCGTGTACCTCAGCACCCTTATATTTATGTATTTGTTTATTTTTGAGGCAGGATCTTGCTCTGTTGCCCAGGCTGGAGTACAGTGGCATCTTCCTTGCCCACTACAGCGCCAACCTCCCAGGCTCAGGTGATCCTCCCACCTCATGAGAAAAAATAAAGCATGGCTACATGCAAGAACATGGGTGAATCTCCAAAACCAGATGAAAGAAGCAAGACACAAACTGTATACACTGTAGAATCCTGCTTACGTAACGTACAAAACCGGCAAAATTAATCTGGTGCTAGAGGTCAGGGTAGTTGACTTCCTTTGGGGTCGTAGTATCTGGAAAGGTGCAGGAGGTGGGTTCCTGGAATTCCTGGTAAGAATCTGCTGTTTGATCTGGGAGATAGTTACACAAGCATACTCTTCAAAAATTAATCAAGTTATGTCCTCACAATATGTTCGCCTTTCTGTATGTATAGACTTCAACAAAAAGCTGGGTATGTGAACACATGAGTAAATGAATAAAAACTTTATAGCAGGTCTAGGAAGCTGAGGGGGTGTCATCAGCCCACGTGATCATTATAGAGTTTGTAAAAAATGCAAAGCTGATGGGAAAAGGGTAAAAAAGGATAAAATACGACGAAGCTGAGAAAATTGCAAACTCATCCAGGTGAAGAAGAGTATCTCTAAAAAGTGATTTTTTCCATTAATGTTTCAAATAATTTCAGAATGATAGGCAGTGGTGTCATACAATTAGAACCTGGAGCCTGGAGAAAATGCACTCCTGCTGCAAAGACTGATCGATGCAGATTCTTATTTACAAATAGAAAAAGATGACCAAAATTTCCCAAACATTTGAGGCAAACTACCCTCGTGAGAAAAAGCACCAAACCAAACGCAGCAAATTCAAATCCAGGAGAAAAAAAACTGTTAATATTTAAAACTGAAATATTAATGTAGCAAAGAATAATAATAGTTTTTTAAAATTGTACTTTAGGCCCTGGGGTACATGTGCAGATCATGCAGGATTGTTGCATAGGTAACACACATGGCAAGGTGGTTTGCTGCCTCCATCCCCCCATCACCTACATCTGGCATTTCTCCCCAAGTTATCCCTCCCCAACCTCCTCTCCCGCCCACTGTCCTTCCCTTGTCTCCCCACAACAGCCCCCAGTGTGTAATTTTCTGTTCTTGTGTCAGTTTGCTGAGAATTATGGTTTCCAGGTTCATCCATGTCCCTACAAAAGACACAAACTCATCATTTTTTATGGCTGCATAGTATTCCATGGTGTATATGTGCTATATTTTCCTTGTCCAGTCTATTGTCGATGGGCATTTGGGTTGGTTTCAGGTCTTTGCTATTGTAAACAGTGCCACTATGAACATACGTGTGCATGTGTCTTTATAATAGAATGATTTATAATACTTTGGGTGTATACCCAGTAATGGGATTGCTGGGTCAAATGGAATTTCTGTGTCTAGATCCTCGAGGAATGGCCACACCGTCTTCCACAATGGTTGAACTAGTTTACACTCCCGCCAAGAAAAATTAATATATCAGAGACATTGGTGGCAAAATGGTGCCCCTCGGTCCAGGTGAATTTTCTACCACTGCATTTTCAAGGATTTTCTTTCCTCTGCCCTATGCCTTCCTTCTGGAAATAATATTCAGAGCTTTTTGAACTTTTGACCTATTTCTATGTCTCCTACAAGGCTTTCACCTCAGTCGTTTCACTGACATAAATTATATCTATTTGATTGAGAGCTGTGGGCTCTGTCACTTGGGCAGGTTGGTTAACTTCTACGTACCTTAGAGCCTTATGTTATTTATTCGTTTGTTTGTTTGTTTGTTTTTGAGACAGAGTCTCGCTCTGTCACCCAGCCTGGAGTACAGTGGCACCATTCTGGCTCACTCTAGCCTTGAGCCTCCAGGCTCAGGTGATCCTCCCACCTCAGCCTCCTGAGTAGTTAGGACTACTGCCATGCACCACCATGCTCAGCTAATTTTTTAAATTTCTTGTAGCGATGGAGTCACACAATGTTGCCCAGGCTGGTCTCAGACTCCTGGACTCATGCGATCTTCCCACCTTGGCCTCCTAAAATTCTGGTATTACAGGTGTGAGCCACTGTGCCCAGCCTAGCACCCTTATTTTTAAAGCACAATTTACTATCTACCACATAGGATTAGAGTGTGGATTAAAGGAAATAATGTAAGGAAGTCTTCATCACAGTGCCTGGCCAAAGACACATAAAGCCAGCTCAGCACTGCCATAGTTCTACGCTTGGTAAACACCAAGTGTTTAAGAAATAGTTCATTGCAGCCTCGCCTCAGATCTTACTGTATGGGTCCAAGATTTTACTTCACCCCACAGTGTCAATTGCTTCTGACCATGATGAGGTTGAGAAATAAAATGAAATGAAATCTTACATATACTTTATGTTCTAAAATCAGCTTGTAAGATCACTCATTGGAAGGTTTACATTTACCCCTGGAAAATCTTTTAATGGCTTACAAAATATTGAAGGGTATATGTGATTTTTAAATACAACTTTGAAAGCAACTTTTAAGCATTTTTTCCCTCTGATCCTTCTTGAATTATTCAAGCCCTTTTATATTAAAGAAGCAAACCGATCACTGGCCTCGAAATAAATGTATTCCTTTTTCACTGTCTGGGAAACTTGTAAAAACATGAACCTACTTTCCATGACCACCAACCATTTCAGAATTGCCTCTTTCCATGGCTTGCAGGAGAGTATGGTAGAGAGCCTTTCAGTTATTTTCTCTTTTCTCTCTCTCTTCTCTAACAATTCATAATTGAATAGCTGCCCAGATGGTGTCTGACACTCTGGACAGTTTATGCCCTGCTGTGCCCATACTCATATATATACAACTTTAAATATATATGACTTTAAAAAGACTAAACAATAAGGGAATATGTGTGTGTGTGTGTGTGTGTGTGTGTGTGTGTGTGTGTGTGTGTGTGTGTGTGTGTATACACATACATACATACATACAGAGATTTCCTTATTGTTTAGTCTTTTTAAAGTCATTCAAGTGAAATTCAGTGCTCTAATTTCTGAGGGCCGTCTCAGTTCTATGGCTTGACTATCAACAGGCATTCCAATCTACTGCATTGAATTTGAAAGATAAATTTCCCACCAAAACTCACTTGCTGGTCACTTTCTTTGCTTCAGGGAGGTTCCTCTTTTGGTAGTCTGCACGGAACTGAAGTTGAGTTCTTCTTCAGAGCCTGTGTTACAGAACCTGGAATGAAAACATCACATTGGGGTTTGGCAAGATGGGAAAGGATCTCCTGTAGAACTCAGATTTGGATCAATATCTGTAATTCCTTTTACCCCTGCCCCTCGAGAGCAGTCCTGGTTTCTGTCAAGAGCTCTCAGTAAAGAAGGGTCAAAAAGCTATCCTTGCAAAGCAAGCCAGTGCTAATAAAATGACAAAAAGCTACTGAGAAGGGGATTTGACATTTGAAGGGGAGATTCATTGAAAGTCTGGCTTCAGGCAAAGGAAACCATTGGATTTAGATGGATTTGCTTCTCTCCCTGCCTTTGGAGCAAGCTTTTATTGAAGAACAACATACATAAAGAAAAGTTCACATAGCACAAATTGTAAGAGTTAAACTCACCGAACTTCGACAAATGGAGCACACCCACGTGAGAAAGAGAACACCAACCCTGCCCCTCAGAAACCTCCCTTAGACGCCCTTCCAGTAACTATCCCACCCATAACTGCTCTCATGTTTGTGACAGCAGAAGTGACAGGTATATCTGCTTCTGAAACTTTGTTCAGCTGCCTATTCAGAATACAACCTAGGAAAACTGGGTTAACTTGCTGGTTTCCACATCAGCCATGTGGGAGACATTAATTTTTATTGCTTAGCACAGTGTCCAGTATGTAGCCGCAATTCAGTAGAGGTTTTGGATAAAGGGCTGAAAGAAAAACAAGAGTTGATGTACAGAATGCCTTGGGAATAAACTGGGGTTCCAAGGGGAAAAATAAGGATCTGGCTGCTTAGGACAGTATGTACTGAGTGAACTGTGTCTGATCATTCACAAATTTAATTTGTACCAGTTTATTATACTTTCTTTTTATATTAGTTAGGCACAGTGTTGCTACTCCGAAACCATTTATGTCAAATATTACATAACCTTTGCTTTTTTATTATAATAAAGGAGAAATTACAAATGTTCGTCATAAATGGGAAGTGTTTATTCCAGTTAGATTGAGGACCTCTGCTGTATTCATATTTCTCTGCCACACACGCGCCATGCTTGAGACATTTTAAGGACGCTCCTGTCTCTTTGCATTGCTCAACTCATTCCCGCCATTTAAAACAGTCACCTGGAGGGAAACCATGACTTGATAACAATGGCTTTGAAAAGCCAGGCTAGGAACTGAAGTTATCTTTTAGTATGCACCAGTTAGCCATTGTGCACTATTTAGCAATTTAGGCATTGCTGATATTGAGCAGGCTTACAATTAGACATGGAGGTGAAAGTCATTACCAAAAAAAAAAAAAAAAAAAAAGAAATCCAGACTTCCTTGCAATCTTGGTTGGCAAGAAACACTCAGACTCTGGGAAACAGCAGCCCCGAACCCATAGCCATCTGTCCATTTGTGGCAGTGTACCCTGATGAGGAGGTGACACCTCAGCCAAGGGCAGTGCCACTACCTAGCCAACAAGACCAATTAGAAAGGGACTCTGGTGCCAGTAAGTAGCTGATCACTGAGAAGTACATTGAGTAGTATATCTAGCACTGTGTTCAGTACAATAGATCAAACTATGTGGCTGACTAGAGATGGAGAGTACAATTCTAAAGATTTCAAGTTAAATGGGAATGTATTTTTTCATTAACTAAACAGGTGCTAAGTATCTTATATGGTTTGGATGCTCCTCTCCAGGCCTCATGTTGAAATGTAATCCCCAGGTGCAGTGGCTCACGCCTCCAATCCCAAAACTTTGGGAGGCTGAGGTGGGCAGATCACGAGGTCAAGAGATCGAGACCATCCTGGCCAACATGGTGAAACCGTCTCTACTGAAAAATACAAAAATTAGCTGGGCGTGGTGGTGCACAACTGCAGTCCCACCTACTGGGGAGGCTGAGGCAGAAGAATTGCTTGAACCTGGGCGGTGGAGGTTGCAGTGAGCCGAGATTGCGCCACTGCACTCCAGCCTGGCGCCTGGTGACAGAACGAGACAGAGCTCTGTCTCAAAAAAAAAAGAAGAAGAAAAAAGAAAGAAAGGTAATCCTCAGTGTTGGAACTGAGGCCTCATGGGAGGTGTTTTTGTCATGGGGCAGATTCCTCATCAATGGCCTGGTGCCCCCTGGCACTAATGAGTGAGTTCTCACTCAGTTCACATAAGATCTGGTTGTTTAAAAGAGTGTGGCATGTGCTCCATCCCCTTGTTCACTCTTGCCATGTGACATGCCTGCTCCTGCTCCCCTTTGTGCCGTGGGTAAAAGCTCCTTGAGGCTTCACCAGAAGCCAAGCAGATGCCAGTGCCACGCTTCCTGTACAACCTGTAGAACTAGGAGCCAATGAAACCTCTTTTCCTTATAAACTGCTCAGCCTCAGGTATTCCTTTACAGCAGCACAAAAACGGACCGACAGTATCTAATATGTAGCTGGTATAGGAAGGATATCGAGAAAGACAAAGTTGACAGTCTTAGTCTCCTCCCACCTAATGAAACTTGATCAGTAAAAGCTTGATTCCAAGTCCTTGGATTGAGATTTTGGATGTCCTTGGTGATTACTGAGGGAATTGCTATTGATCAGAACGTATGAGGAAACCATAAGCAGTGCTGCGGGCTACAGGCAGAGAATTGACACAGTGCTCATAGGCAGGCATCCCTGTCCCTCTCTACCTGTGTGAAAAGAGACACTATTCACATCCAGGCTTAAGTCCTAGTTCCTCTTCAGAGCCCTCCCTGTTCCCTCAGTCAAAGTGATTCTCCCTTCCTCTGAAATTATCTTACTGCCTAGATCATCCTTATGGACTTTGCCCTGCATTGCTTTGGTTTGTAGTGACATGTAGGTATCTTACCTCGCTATTTTAAATGTGAACTCCTGCAGAGCAGGGGCCCTTTGTTACAACACTGTTTACTCCCCCAGAGCACAACACCTTACATTGTTCTCTACCCATGACAGGTGTTTTATAAGTATTTGTATGTTGATTAATCTCAAGCACAATGCCTAGATTTATCTGTTTAACATTCTCACCTAGTCCTTTCTGAATACTTAGACTTGATTTTTCAGCCTGCCTACCAGGTCTCTCTGGGTACCAAAAATAATAATTATACACCAAGTTCCAGAGATTTGGTGCTCCAAAATATGCTCTCCGTGACTTTGAAAAATTCTTAACTTTTGTATGCATTATATATTGCATATATTGCATCATATATTAGAATACATAAAATCACATAAAATATATAATATTGTATGCAATTACATGCATTATAAATGGGAATCATCATATAATACAAATAGATGCACATGCACACACATGTGCACACATATAGTATATTATCATATATGATATATGGACATATTTTTATGTCATATATAATAATGACAAATCCAGGCATTGGTGCTTCAGATTAATCATCATACAAATACTTACAAAACACCTGTCATGGGTAGAGAACATACCTAAAAATATGTATATATGTAAATATGTATGTATGACATATTTGTAAATGTACAAACACACAATATTTTCTTTTGTACTTTCTGCTTTCTCTTGATCTCTCAAACTTTGGTTTCCTAAGCATTTTGCAAACCAAAAAAAAAAAAATCTAAATATAAATTTGAAATGAACAAAAACTACCTAAGGGACCTGGAGAACTTCACTTTTGGTGAAATTATGGAAATGGGCAAAATGTGTAAGCAAAATGCTGAGGGCATTTTAGAGATACATGCTTGATGGTCTTATGCAAGAAAAAATAAGTTGGTGTTCTGTGCCATCGTGCTAAGAATGCACAGAGCTTCATTTCAACAAAGTAACGAATGAACAAAAAATAAGAAGAAAAAAAACTTTTGTACCATTTAGCCAGAGAAAATTCAGATTCGGTATTAAGGACTGATCATGGAGAAGACAGCAAGAATTCTAGGCCGTCTACTTCTTCCTCTTTTTTGTCTGTTATAAAAAAAAGCACATTGCAGCTCTCAGCATCAGAGAGCCTAGGTACTCTTTTAAAATGTAATGGTAATAGTAACAAAAGAATAACTTACAGAATCCTACCCCTCCTTCCCTATTATCACTAACAGAATCCTCTTGGATCCACGGCAGGGGTGGAGATTTCTATGCTAGGAAACATACCCTGGAATGACAGCCAGGTAAAGCGTCCATGCCATTCTAAAGTGAGGCCCCAGAGAGCCTGTCAACCTCCCACTTCTGAGTTTCCATATGCCAAAGACTCTCCCTCCCTGTTCTGACTCCTGGTGCCCTGGAACCACCTTCAGAGATAGACCTTGTTTGTTGTTGCCCAACCTCCATTGATGTTGTCGTCAATGGGACAAAAAAACCCTGTCCATTCTGGGGTGACGTTAACATTCATGGCAATCCATAATCAAATTACTAAAATTAATCATTAAAATGCATAACTTGGTTTCTAGATATAAGACCAAATTTGATATAAAGTAAGTTCTTATACACTAGCAATACACAATTACAAAGTATAATTCTAATGTATTATTTGCGTCGCCAAAATATTAAAAACTGAATAACTTTGAGATAAATCTGACAACAGAAATACAAAGAGAAAGTGATGAATCCTTATGTAATAGCATTAAGAAAGGTAAAAGTAAATTGTTTTTTAATAGGTCTCCACACAATTCTAAAAATATACTTCTCAAATTAATCGATAAAATTTCATATCATTGCAGTGATGTTATTAAATTGTATACATTAATTTGAGAAGTATATTTTTATAATTGTGATAAAATGGTATGAATCAGTGTTTTAAAGAAGAGAAACAAGAATCAGCGGCAGGCAAAACATTTACCAATGAAACGTGGGTGTGTATTTACCAACAAAACCACAAAGGGATCCACGAAACTGAGTTCAACATCTAACCAGCAGATAGTAGGTACTGAGTTGTATGCATACGGAACAACCAGTAATCTTATTCATTTGTGTGATTGTAAATTGCTGCAACCACTTTGGAAAAGAAGTTCGCATTGTCTTGCAAAGCTGAAAGGGTATCTTGTTTTTTTGGTGCTGGCCTGCCATTTACTTTCTCTTTGCCTAGTCCCAGTGTAGTCATATGAAGGGTATTTCATGCAGCAAACCCTGTCCTGGGAATGTGCAGTCAGAAAACTAACATACTCACTGGGAGACATGCAGAAGAAGGTTCGTCTTGAAAAAGTTTGTAAAGGTAAAAAGTGGTAAGCAAACGAAATGTGCTTTCACAAGAAATTGGATCATTTTAATCTGTAATGTTCACATAAATGAATGGTACAGATCAGGGAAAATAAACCATAGTGTCACATATTATTATAGATGGATTTTAAAAACATATGACTGAGTGGGAAAAACAAAATTTAATAGGATATATTGGCTGAGCGTGGTGGCTTACTCCTGTAATCCCAGCACTTTGAGAGGCTGAAATGGGTGGGTCACGACATCAGGAGTTTAAGACCAAATTGGCCAAGATGGTGAAACCCCATCTTTACTAAAAATACAAAAATTAGCCAGGCATTGTGGTGGGTGCCTGTAATCCCAGCTACTCAGGAGGCTGAGGCAGAGAGTTGCTTGAACCCTGGACACAGAGCTTGCAGTGAGCCAAGATCGCGCCACTGCACTCCAACCTGGGCCACAGAGCGAGACACCATCTCAAAAAACAAACAAACAAACAAAAAGATTATATATAGTAGGATACCAGCAACATAAGGCCAGAAGCATACAAATGTTTATAATATATTGCTTATTAAAATATACATAATGCATGGTAAAATATATGATGGTCTAAGAATGTGGTAAAAAAATTAAGAGTGATTATCACTGGCAGGAATGTATGATACCGTAGTCATAAATAAAGGAGAGGAGGCATGTTTATATCATTAGATGCAGAGAAATCATTTGATAAATTTCAACACCTACTAATGATAGAAACTATTAACAAAACATTAATAGAACTCAAGGGAAACTTTCTCAATCTGATAAAACTATTAAAACACAGCCGCATTTTACTTCTGTTTAATAATGTAAAAGGAAGACTTAGGCAGTGCAGTAAGTCAAGCAAGGAAATAAAAGGCATACAATTTGGAAATAAATTAAACTGTCTTATTTGCAGTTGATCAAAAGATGAATACAGAAAATTCTAAAACATCTACCTAAAAAGTTTTTTATAACTACTAGATACACTTATATATGCAAAAACAATATACAAAAATCAATTATATTTTTATATACTAGCAATAACAATAGTAAATGTAATGCAATAACACCATTGACAATGATGTCAACTAAACAGAAAACACTTAGATATAAATTTAACAAAATAGGTACAATATTTGGACACTGCAAATTACCAAGCATTAATAAAATAAGTTAAACACAAATAAAGAGATGTACAAGGCTCATCTTTTGAATAATAATTCCATATTATTAAGATATCCGTTTTCTCAAATTGATCTAAAGATTCGACACAAGCCCAGGACATCACAGGAGATGTCCTACTGCTATACCTCTTCCTCCTCCATTTCCCCGCCCCCCATTCTTCTTTTTGCTATTATTATTATTGCTATATTTTTGTAGAAATGGATAAGCTGATTCTAAGACATATATGATACGAAAAGGCTATACAACAGCTACAAGTTTGAAAAAGAAGTTGAAAGACTCTCTGATTTCAAGATGTATTATAAAGTAATTAAGAAAGCATGGTAGCGTATGCGTGTACGTATGTATAAATATATATGTATATATTTATAACAAGCTAGGAGTCCAGAAATAGATACCCACATATCAATTGATTTTTATGAAATTTACCTAGAGAATAGAAGAAATAAACTTTTTAGAAAATTTAATTCTTTACAGATGGTACTCTAACAATTGATACTCTGGCCAGGCGCAGTGGATTACAGGATTAGAGGATTACATCTGTAATCCTGGCACTTTGGGAGGCTGAGGCTCATGGATCACCTGAGGTCAGGAGTTCGAGACCAGCCTGGCCAACACGGCAAAACCCTGTCGCTACTAAAAATATAAAAAAAAAAAAAAATAGCTGGGCGTGGGGTGGGCACCTATAATCCCAGCTACTTGAGAGGCTGAAGCAGGAGAATTACTTGAACCTGGTAGAGGGAAGGTTACAGTGAGCTGAGGTCACGCCACTTCCTTCCAGCCTGGGCAAAAGAGCAAAACTCCGTCTCAAAAAAAAAAAAAAAATGGATATCCATATTAAAAAAAAATAAACTTTGACAATTCACATTGCATACAAAAGTGAACTCAAAATGGAACGTGGAACTAAGTGTAAAAACTAAGACTACAAAACTTTTAGAAATAAATATGGAAATATTAACAGTTTAGATACAACAGCAGCAACGTAAACCATGAAAGAAAATGTTGATAAGTTGGACTTCATTAAAATTAAAAACATTTTTCCTTTGAGTGCCACCTCTGGGACAATGAAAAGGTAAGCCACAGAGTGGAAGAAAATATTGGCAAAACACATATCTGATAAAAAAGAAATTGTAACAAAAAATTTTTAGAAATCCTAAAGGAGAACACAACCCAATATAAAAATGGGTAAAATCTTGAAGTGACACATCACCATAGCAGTTTTAAGGATGGCAAATACGCATATGAAAAGCTGCTTGGTAGCCTTAGTCATCAGAGGAAAGCAAATTAAAACCATAATACGATGTCACTGCATACACATTAGCATGCTAAAATTAAAAAGGCTGATGATGCCAAATGCTGATGATATATAAAGCAACTGAAATTCTCCTACATTGCTGGTAGGGGCGTAAAATGATACAACTATGAGGAAATCATTAGGCAGTTCCTGATTAAGTTAAACATAACCTACCATATGAACCAGCTCTTTCATTACCAGATATTTACCCAAGAGGAATGAAAATAGATGCCTACACAAAGCATTCCGCATGAATGTCCATAGAGGTTTTATTCACAATAAGCAAAAACCAGATATAATCTAAATTCCCATCAAGAAGAGAATGGATAAACACAATGTAGCATATCTACACAATGTAAACTATTTTGCAATAAAATTAGGATACACTAAAACATGCAACCACATAGATGAATCTCCATGAATGACTCATTATACTAAGTAGAAGTCAAAAATAAAAAATGTTTCAATTTATAAGTTGAAAATCGTAGAAAATGCAAAATAACCTATTTTGACAGAAGGCAGATCATCAGTTGTCTGTGACCAGCCAGGAGCAGAGGCAGGGATGGAAGTATTTTGTATATATTGTGGTGGTGTTTTAACAAGTGTATGTATCTGCAAGAACTCATTGCATTGTGAGTTGTAAATGGAGTTTTTAAAATGACACCATTAAGAAAATAAAAAAGCAAGCCACTAACTGGGAAAAATATTGCACCTATATGTATATGAGAGAGGTCTTATATCCCAACTGTATGAAGGACAATTTTAACTCAATCATAAAAAGAAAACAACCTACGTTGAAAAATTGACCAAGTATATCAATAGACAAATTTCCAAGATATATGAATGACCAATAAGTACATTAAAAGATATTCAACCTCATTAGACCTCAAGAAATGCACATTTAACTAACAGTAGATAAAAGAAAACTTTGAACTCAGCTGACCTAATAAATATGGATTATCTGAAACACGCCTACATTTCCGGTGGGAATGTAACGTGAGCACTAACATATTGGAATCATTTTAAAGTTAAACGTAGACTTACCATACAACCCAACCATTTCTCCCCTGGGTACTTAGAGAACGAAAATCATATGTCCACATAAAGCATATGCCCATACTTGTATATAAATATTTTAGGATCCAAATTAATAAGAAACAGCTCAGTTGTCTAGTAACAGAAGAGTGGGTATGCAAACTGCTGCAGACAGTGGAATACTACTCAGAACTACCTAAGTACACAACAACATGGATACATCTCAAAACACGATACTGCACAAAACAAGCCAGAGATACCAAGTACTTTAGTATAATGTAAGATTATATTAATATAAAATTCTGGAGCACTCAAGACTAACCTATATTGACAGCTGATACCAGTTGTTGATGGCTGGGGATTAGGAAAGGGACTATTTGCAAAAGAACACATGGGAACCTTTTGTCACAAGCCTGTGCTATCTATCTTGATTATGGGTATATATACTTGTGAAAAGCTATGAAGCCATATGCTTAAAATGTGTGCACTTATTGCATATAATTACATCTCTAAAGCTGAGTTTTTAAAAATTCGAAAGAAGGGTTAACATAGGTATTGGTGATATTTCATCACCAGGTGATAAGGTGGGTGTTTAGCACAAGGATTTTTGTTCTATTATATATTCTTTGAATGAAATATTTCATAATAGATTAGCCATGGTCTGGGAGATGATAGTAACCATGCATGTAAGTGATGAAGATTAATCTACTGATTATAATAGAGAATCCTGCAAATGAATAAGAAAAGATAAACACCCCAGTAAATAGTAGGCAGATATATTAGTAAGCAATTTGAAGAAGAGGAAATATGAAGATCAATATACATACAAAAAGAAGGTCAACTCAATAGTAATCATGGAAATAGGAATTAAAACCATAAGCCACAAATTATCACAACAAAAAGAAAACTAAGAAAAAGGTCTGATAATAGTGACTTCTGAGGAAGAATGAGAATTTAAATTTGTAGAACCACCCTGAAAGGCAAATTTCAATCAACTAAAAAAATAGGCGTATTCTCCCCTAGACAAACTCTCTCACAGGTACTCAAAAATATACAGTTGATCCCCGAACAGCATGAAGATTAGAGGCGCCACTTTTCCCATGTGGTCAAAAATCCATGTATCACTTTTGACTCCTCAGAAACAAGAGCCTACTGTTGACCAGAAGCCTTACCAATAGCAAAAACAGTTAACACTTATTTTATGTTATGTACTGTATGCTTACAATAAAGTAAGCTAGAGAAAGATACATGTTATTAAGAAAATCATAAAGAAGAGGAAATATGTTTACTATTTACTAAGTGGGTGTGGCTCATCATAAAGATCATTTTCTTCAGATTGAGTAGGCTGAGGAGGAAAAAGAGCGGGGCTTGGTCTTGCTGTCTTAGGGATGACAGAGGCAGACGAGGTGGAGGAGGTAGAAGGAGAGGCAGGAGGGGCAGGCACTTAGTTTCATCTTTATTGAAAAGAATCCACATATTATGTGGACCAGATCAAACTCATATTGTTCACAGGTCAACTGTATCTAAATGTTCCTATCAGCTATGTTTATAATAGCAAAAAAACAGAAAACAAGAATATACGCCGGGCGCGGTGGCTCAAGCCTGTAATCCCAGCACTGTGGGAGGCCGAGGCGGGTGGATCACGAGGTCAAGAGATCGAGACCATCCTGGTCAACATGGTGAAACCCCGTCTCTACTAAAAATACAAAAAATTAGCTGGGCATGGTGGCGCGTGCCTGTAATCCCAGCTACTCAGGAGGCTGAGGCAGGAGAATTGCCTGAACCCAGGAGGCGGAGGTTGCGGTGAGCCGAGATCGTGCCATTGCACTCCAGCCTGGGTAACAAGAGCGAAACTCTGTCTCAAAAAAAAAAAAAAAAAGAATATACAAGAAGCTAAATGCCCGTCAACATTATACAGTGTAATAGATAAAACAGTAAATAGATATCGACATGAGTGGATTTCAAAATATAATTATGGGTGAAAATATATGTTCTCTGCTTAATAAAATTTTAATATGCATATTTGATAATTTTAAAACCATTCTGCATATTGTTTAGGAGGATATAACTATATAATTAAATGTAAAGAAGTTTTTAGGGATAAGAAACTCTTTCTGAGGGCAGTACCTTTTTCTAATTTCTGAGGAAATTAAGAAGGATGTGATCAGCATGAAGTACCCAGGGCCTTCAACCTTTTGAGGATCGTTATTCCTTAAGCAGAATATTCATAACATGAGTGTTCATGATATCCTTATTCATATATTTGGTTTGTTAAAAATATTTTACATTATAATTTTTAAAGTAATTATAGGAAGCAAAACAAAGAAAATGAAGAATGAGAGGAATTTTCTGGTCCCAGGAGGCATGATTCTGCTGGACAAAGATCTGCTTACTCTCTCTGCCTCTGGTGACATAATCATCTCAGATGGTTTTACAAGGCTCATGGTTTAGAATGGTGATGTATACTGTTGGGTCCCAAGAAACTTTCAGTTTTTGGCCCTAGAAGCTGGCTTAACAGGGAGATATTTTGGTTGCAGGCATTCAAGGAAAAAAGAGGGTTTTTTTAAGACAGAGTTTCGCTCTTGTTAGCTAGGCTGGAATGCAATGGCATGATCTCGGCTCACCGCAACCTCCACCTCCTGGGTCCAAGCAATTCTCCTGCCTCAGCCTCCCAAGTAGCTGGGACTACACGCGCCACCACGCCCCCGCTAATTTTTGTATTTTTAGTAGAGACGGGGTTTCACCATGTTGACCAGGATGATCTGGATCTCTTGACCTCGTGATCCACCCGCCTCGGCCTCCCAAAGTGCTGGGATTATAAGTGTGAGCCACCGCGCCTGGCCAGAGAAAAGAGTTTAAACCAAGCAAGGACCATCATTCCAAACTCAAAAAAAGATGCAAAGGTATTAAAAGTTTTGAAAGTATTCTGTATTTCTGTGACAAATTACAAAGAATCAAAATCTATGTCAAAGGTTTACACTAGAACTATGTAAAGACAACTTACAAGTCAAAGAGAGAAACCAAGGAGATACGTGGACAAAGATCATGAACAAAATACCCATACAATAGTGATGAAGAACTGAGAAACATATACAGACATTTTTATAAGTAATTAATGAAATTCAAATTAAATAAAAATTAGCTTTTCTGTCCATCAAACAGGCAAGGTTGGAAAAATGATGACCATGGTGTTACACACACTGCAGGAAGAATGACGCTCTACAGTGCAACTAATGAGGATGAAAATTGATAAATTCTTTCTGGAAAGCACATTATTAAAATATACTAATCAATTTAAAATATTCATACATTCTGGTTGAATGATTAGTATAGTAGAATAGTCACTAAGGAGATAGTAAGAGATGCAAATAAAAGTATACTTATAAGGATGTTTTTGTAATCCCAGCACTTTGGGAGCCAAGGTGGGGGGGCATCACCTGAGGTCAGGAGTTCGAGACCAGCCTGACCAATATGGTGAAACCCTGTCTCTACTAAAAATACAAAAGTTAGCTGGGCGTGGTGGCATGCACCCATAGTCCCAGCTATTCAGGAGTCTGAGACAGGAGAACTGCTTGAACCCAGGAGGTATAGGCTGTCATGAGCTGAGATCACGCCACTGGACTCCAGCCTGGGCAACAGAGCAAAACACTGTTTCAAAAAACAAACAAAAAGAATGTTTTTGAAGCACTATTCATAATATTTAGTAGATAAAGCTTCAATGCTCATGAATTGTATTCATATAATCATTGTGGTTTTAATATATAATTTGAGTTTTTAAAATAATAGCAAGAGGAATGAACGAAAACTCAATATTTAATGAAAAAAACACGATGCAAGACTCTATTTAGTCTGATGTCAATATTGTATCATGTGTGACTGGTGGAATCTATGTTTTTGTCCATTTATGAGAAAACTGAAGAAGGCACATTTTCTCAAAATATTTCTCTAACATCTCTGCTTCATCCCACAAACTAAGAGAGCAGTTTGTGACTTCCTTAGAGGACAAGTGGAAGTTGCTTATTAAATTGACAGAGGATTAGACTTCACAGAGAAGATGCTTTAACAGAATTCTGTGGGTCATTTTCCACTCACAAATTTTGCAGCCCCTTTGCGGTATGAATCTGACTCTGACATTCATATACACAGCAGCCAATGCTATGTTTTGGAATGCTCCCCCACGTGGCAAAATCTCCCATTCAAAAAGAACATTAAATATAGTGTAAAATCACGATAACACGGAAAAAAGCAATCAGCAGGCAGCTCTAACTTCTGGCTACCATCTATAAACAGGTGGTAAAATTCTTGTACCAAC